GGGGTCTCGCTCTTGGTCAGGCTGGTTTCGAACTCCTGAGCTCAAACAATCCACCCGCCTCGGCCTCCCAGAGAGCTAGGATTACAGGCGTGAGCCACTGTGCCCGACCTATTCTTACAATTCTTGATTGTCCCTTGAATGGAAGATCTGATTATGCGTCATCACCTAGTGGGCTTAACTTTACTTTTTGCAAGTAGTTTGAGAGCTGGCTGTTACCTCCGAAATACTACAAATGGCCACAATTAGTAGGGCCAACATTGACACTAGGAGGCCTACTTTTCTCCAAATATGTTTGCTTTCTTTAGAGACATGCTCCTTTTTCATTTTGGGGGAGAGTGGAGAGGAAAGGTGGAACTGACTAGACTTTTCTTATAGAAAGAATTTCAGTTAACTCCTCTGTTTCTAGGCCTTCATTCCTTCCAACTGTGGATCCTCTCTGATCTAGGATTCTGTTGGACCAAGATTTATTTCTCACATTCGCTGCATGCCCACCTCGTACCATGTGTTAGGGGTTGTAGGTTTTTCTTTATTACTGTTTTTTTTTTTAATCTTTTATTATGAAAAAGTGCACATGTACCCAAAGGTAGAGAGTGGTAGATGAATCTATATTATTGGTCAGCTTTAACAGCTTTAACAGTTAAGTGTGACTACTTCTGTGTTACATATTCTTCCACCCCTCTTAGTTTTAACCAAATACCAGGCATTATTTCATCCGTAACTATTTCAGTATGTATTTCTAAAAGGTAAGGGCTCCTTCTAAAAAACATAATACAGTACCATTATTATATCTAGTGAATATATAATTCTTTAATATCATCAAGTAAGCACATTACCTCATTAGTTTTTTTCATAGTTTGAAGCAAGAGCTGAACAAGGTCCTGTAGTACATGTAGTTGGCTGATAAGTCTTTTAAACTCAAGTCCCTTCTCTTGAATTGATTGGTTTTTCTTTGTCCATACATTTTTTTATCTACTTTCAGACATTCAAAAATTTGTTAAAATCTTTCAATTTCTTCATTGTTTATTTCCTTTGAAAAAATTATTTTTATTTGAGTCCTTGGAGGGTAAGGAGACAACCTGAACAAGAAACCCTGGTTTTTAATTATCATTGGTTAAAATCATAAATATTCCTAACATGTAGAAAAAGAGTATTATAATAGAGACTCTCGTACCAACTGCCTGGATTTAACAGATGTTAACATTTTGCCCCTTGGCTCTTAAACTGAGAAGTTAAGCAGTATAACCAAAGAGTACAAAGAAAGATCAAAGAAAAATTGTGTGGCTACCTTTTAAATTTCCATCAGGTTTGGATTATGCTAGGTACTGTAAGTCTTTTTGATACTCTAGGGGTATTCTTATAAATGTGGCAGGCTTGTGCTAAAACCATGTTCTTTATATAAATTTGACAAACAGAAGTAGATACTCTACTCTTATAATCTGTTTTCACCGTGATGAGTAATGATTGAGTGCTCTCAGTGTACTAATCATTTAAAATGTACTCAATATAATTG